CTGTGCATATACGTATGTAACTATGGAATTTGACAAAATATTTGAAATGCAAATATTTGCGTGTAATACTTAATTTCAAACATCCCCACTCTTGTTGACAAACATATCTTGAGCATACCTTTGATTAACTCACTATGGAGAGACAAATAACGAACAGGAAGCTAGTATTGATCATCAATGCTAGTTTCCTTGTTTATCACTTTAGTGTTTTTAAAGCATACATGGGTCATCCCATTACGTGTGGTTGACCTAATACCGTAATGACACAAGTGTCAGACGACAAACCATGTTTCGATAAGTGCATGTCCTGCAATACAATTCTTATATAGTTAAGGTCAACATTTTGAATTATTTAGTTTTAGCTGTATTTAATATAAAATTATTGCTTAACTCTTCAATTCAGGGTTGCCCATGTTTCTGTTTGATTTCAGAACTATCACAAATCATAAACTGTATAATTTAAACAAAGTCGTATGTGTTTTAAACTCTGATAGATAACTTATACGCAAACATGTGTTGACACTTGGGCGTACACATAAGTGAGTAAGTTTAAGTCAGGTTTACTAGGACTGAAGCAAAATAACTCATAAAATAACTCAAGGCTTGCTAAATTAAATATACTTCGGAAAGCATAATAGCGATACTATTTACTAGAGACATTACCAGCGGCGTCAGTGTCACTGCCGTTCCAACAATTCACCCAATCTCCCCCAGTTGGCTCGGTCGGTTAAAACCTTAGTAAAACCATGTACCGTATATATTTATAAAATCTAAGTCACAATTGATAAGAGCAATACAACAAATCCTTGTTGCTTTGTTATGAACCCTGATTGCCTTTTTTTTTCACCGTATCTGCAGTCGACTATTATCAAAAGTTAAACTGGGTTAAATGTTGAGCAATAAAGGTAACTTACATATGTACCATAAGTTGTCTACGTTGACCTCAATTGTGTGGGCTAATATGCAATTAGTGACACCCATTCGATACCTTGATCAACTCCCTCAAAATATTTCAAACAACATAAACAATCATGTCATATTCATAACAATCCTCCTAACAACCGGATGCGCAGGACTTTATACAAGAGCTTGTCCTTTAGAACCGCCCTGATTGTACAGACCCCGGTGTTATTTTTCATACCAAAGAAGCAAACTTATCAAACTGTTTTTTCTTCCAGTTCTGAAATCATTCAAGGTTCATGGTCGGTATGGTTATGCTATTACTGTATTTAAATAAGTATAAACTATATAATTTTTTATACAAGGGGACTTTATGTATGGTGTGTGTACTTAATTTATACCCAAAATCTTGATGAGACGTACTTATAACAGAAGTAACGATTTTTTAATGTTAGGTGGCGATTTTACCGACTGATTGAATTTTTTTCCACACTGCTCGACACCAGTCCATGCCAACATGTTTCAGTATTAGCATTCCACTGCCGGCAAAATCTAGTGAAAATCTCTTAGATTCAAAGGACCGCTAGAAACTAATACTCCAACCCTTACCGTTTAGCGTGATATAAATGCTGAAAAGAATGAATTAATCGTCACCAGTGATTTCGGGTTTTGGGCAAACCACGCAGTGGCGTCTGGCTATTCAAACTGGACTTTGTTCTATAGAAAAGGTTTTACAGGAAATTCAACAAGCCCTTCAGCAGTAGGGGGACTTGTAAGTGTGGCGAAAAGTTTCGCATCCGCTGTTATCGATGTATTCCAAATTACATGTCGGATATGATACCATTTTTGCATGAATAGCGCAGCCTCTTTATTACAATACTTCTAATACTTTACGTATCCAAGTAACCTCAAGAGTCATTGTATAACACAAAATAGTGAGACAACCTTCACCCTTCATAATGCGACATCCTGACATGAATCCTGCACATACATACATAAATGTACGTATTTATATGTCGATCAGGAGCCGAATTGAAGTGGGGGACCAGCGTTTATCTTTAAAAGATAAAGTAGCTATTATGTATTACGCCTAGCTATTGAAATACAATGTTAAGTATTGTACATATGTATGTATGCTTGGGGTGAACGCATATACATAATAGACAAATATATGCAGTTCTATTGTTGATGTATTATTATAAGAGACTTTTTAACTTTTACAAGTATGCGTTTTTCACTAATACGAAAAAAATATATTGTATTGTTGTCATTGTTACGGACACATGTGAAATTATGCTGAAGGATTTAATGCATTAAAATTAAACATACTTCGGACGTCATACATACACATCTATTTGTGCAGATTTTTAGTTAAGTACATAAGTAATGGACTCTTCTAAATTTGAAGCGGTTTATGTATGTATGTATTTATGATTGTATATGTATGACAACTCTAATGCATGCATTGTCACTGAGTTTAATGGATGTTTTTTACTACTATTCATACATTCGTTGATATCTCTCTGCATGTTAGTAAATATGCCCACCAGGATGGGAGAGACGATTAGAATGTACCTATGCAGAACACACATCTCATCTCACATAAAACATCTGGGATTTCAATTATTTTTGTAAGTTCTTGTTCTGTGAAATCTTTGATATAAAATTTACTAAATATTATGACTTGCATAGTGAACTAATTCTGGAAACGGTTACTGCTATCACCACTCGCCATCATGTTGACGGGATTTGAAGTATACATAAGTATTGTTTCGTACCGAATAACTATTTAATAATTAATTAAAATGTTTACTTACATAGAGATTTTTTGCAGGCTGGAGATTCTAAATATCATTCTGATTATCAAAACGATACAACTACCAACATCCAAGTTGGGCCGATTCTTATTCCAGATGTATGTGAATTTAATGTGTTCTGATTGTTTGAAATACTCAAATATATTTCCGTACATGTTTTAGAATAATTCTTGCATTCGCATTTTCACGTTAAAAATTATATATTTTTGAACTATATTGACCTCGTAATTTCTCATTTCTGAATGTTAATTCACATTTTCCAGGTAATGCCTCACATCTTTAAGTTCCTTGGAGTCCAAGACATAAAAAAATGTCGGCTAGTCTGCAAATCATGGCATTACTTTGCTACCCCTGTACTTAAAGCGAATTCAATGACCCTGATTCCATGTTACCCTGTGGGGGATGACAACAACGATATTTTTAGAAAGACTGGTACACTTCTGTCCAGTCAATATCCATCTGGAGATTGAATGCCTATAAAATGCTCAAAGTCACCCCGGAATCCAAAAATGTTTCCGAATGTGACAAATTTGAAATCCATTTTTATCTCGTATCCAACAAAGAAACTACAGTGGCAGACGACCGTCTGCAAGAAACTTATTGCCAATTCGGCCAGTACTTTGGAAAGGTTAAGTTTTCAATGGAGCGGAAACCAGTTAGATTTTGCTCCCGTGCATCGCACAGTCTTCCCAAAATTAAGGGAACTTGAGATATTCAAACGATCGCTTCCGAGATACGAAGATCTCGAAAGAATTGGTCAAGTTGTTATAGAATCGTTCCCAGCTTTAGAAAGTCTGAAAATTGATTCTGGAATTTTGTATAAATTTCAAAGTTGGAGTCCTACCAAAGTACCACTGTAAGTGGGTATCTACAAATAAATAGTGGAATCTCCAAACTATCGGATTTATACGAATTGATTTCTAATTAATTTACAGATCTCTCAAGTCCTTAGAAATGAAAGGATATTCAAGCTACAAACAGATGTATTACCTTCTTAACATTCGTTGTTCTTTGAAGACACTGGTCTTAGATAGGGTTAAATTTGATGATATTGGCCATCGTGTTGACGAACTACCAACAATTCTATACAGCGTCCTAAAAACGTTTTCACCCACTTTGGAAAAACTTTCTATAGATCTGCGTTGGTGGATAGGGGGTAAACAATTAGAATGGAAATTCCCAGTGTTTCCGGTTATGAAAAGGTTGAGGGTCGTAAATAATGGTGTGCTCGAAAAAATTGCATTTGAAAATCCCTGTTCAGACGTTTTTGGAAGGATTGATTATAAAGTGTGTTTTCCTGTCTTGGAAAGTTTACATGTTTGCATTGAAGCAATTAATTTGTCACCGTTGGATGCATTTCTTCCGATGGAAAATAACGGATGTTCCATGGTTGTGGATTGGGTGAAAGAAATTGACATAAGGCGGATCAGGCTTTTCGTTCGGGCTGTTCCACGATAGATATGACAACCCTTGAGGCGAGAGTGTTGAACATTTTTCCCAATGCGAGACGAACGGTAAGTTAAATTTAGAAATATATACGTTTATTGTGATATTTTGCTGTGTGTAGATTTTTTTTACATGTTTGTTTCTCCTGTTTATAGATAAATATTTCGTAATTGTTACTGATTAATCATGGCGAAAACCTTGATCATGTCTTAATGTTAATGGACGACTTGGAGATTATTGGATAATTAAGAATAATAATTATTATTCTGCACATCTTTAAAATCCTTGTGTATCCATTGAAACGTAAAGTGGCTGGAATAGAGTTCTTGTAATATGTTGTTATATAGGAGTCAGAATTTAGTAAATGTTTTAGGAAAAAAATTCGTGATGCGAGTCCAGGGGGACACGGGGACACTGCACCAGTTTTCAGATGTCCCCCTAATCTGCCCATGTTTTATTAACCCAACCTTCTCCTATCTCACGATGTTAAAGTCCCCCCATGACCCCTCCCCACCTCCGCCGCTTCTGTAATTAGTATAATCTTTTTAATTTTCATCCGTAAATTGTACGTCCCCATACTATGCGATATAAAGTTATGTATGCATTTAGTGTAAACCATGCAGTACTGTTGTTAACGGTAATGAACATAAGTGTTAAATTTAGTACTACAACCAATAAATAACGGCGTAATATTTTTAAAATTCGATGATAAATGACTATGGAAAATTTCCATAGTCATGATTTCCATTGGAAATCATAAGAAATCATGGGATTGTGAGGAACGCGAGGAACTTTCTCTTTTGGTAAAGGAGACAAAGCAAAGGGCCCTTTTGGGATCCGACATTTCACCATTTGCATCTGTTTATTTCGCTTGTCCTTCAATAGAGGCGAGAAAAGTTTGTGAACATATAAATTTCCCAGTAAACCGAAAGTTTTTACTTTTTTGATTTACAAAGCCTTAGTTATCGCCGTAAAGAAAGTGATCATGTACAGCGAGAAGGAACAAGTAAGTTGTTGATTCCAATTCCATTGACTCGTGTAGATATATTTATGTATGTAGGTAATAATATTATATAATAAATTTCCGAAGGAAGAAGACTCCACAATTAATCATACCGATAAATTATTTTTATAAAAAACACTCTGAGGTGAGGCAGTATTATTAGCGATAAAAAAGTAAAACAAGAATTTCTTAATTTTTTAATTTGACAGACATCATGCGTACACGGGATAATTAAATACATATAAAATCGTAGTATTTCAATTCTTGAAAGGTTGCCTCACCGTGGCCCCACAATCGTTTTCAAAATTATTAGAGAAATTACATATTCGATATTACATGAAGAGCTTAAATTTATATCTATCCTGAGAATGTCACTGAAATAATTTTAAATCGGTTTCAACTGAACAACATCAAACTGCAATTTTCGTACTAAAAAGCAATAAGTCCGGGTAAGTCACTGGTCATTATCCTCAGAACATGTATGTGATTACCACATTATGATACCACTGATAACTTGCAACTTCTGAGTTTAATTGCGATGGTATTACAATTTGAAAAGTAGAACGGGAATTTTACTTTATGCTGGTATTGATGTTATACATCAGATCATAATATACAAAAATTGGCCTAAATTCGCTACAACTCCACAAAACCTATACATGTATTTAAATATTGAAAGCGATTGTGGGGCCACGGTGAGGCAACCTTTCAAGAATTGAAATACTACGATTTTATATGTATTTAATTATCCCGTGTACGCATGATGTCTGTCAAATTAAAAAATTAAGAAATTCTTGTTTTACTTTTTTATCGCTAATAATACTGCCTCACCTCAGAGTGTTTTTTATAAAAATAATTTATTTTATAGTTTGTATATGTAAATACATGTATACTAGTGTTAAAGGTCACTAAAGAATTCTAATCAGTATAAAGTGATTTATGACCTTTGACATGGCCTACAGGGTCATATGAAGGTCAAAGGTCAAAAATATCGACGACATCGAATTTTGGGTGTAATTTCCTTCCAGAAAGATGTCCTGTATTATAAAATAAATGGAGCAAAAAGTGCAAAAACATTTTGAACTCGTAAAGAATCGAACCCGTGAACACTATCGTCACAACCCGGCGCTCTAACCACTATACCCCCACCTCCTTGCATAGTAAATATTGTAAAGAACTCGTATTTATTTTTCATTCGATAGAAATAAAAAGTTTTAAATTGTCTCTCAGTCATTCATTTGACCTCTAATCAAAAAAATTGCAATTTAAAACAGATTCACCTTAACCTGGAGAAATTTTAAAACTCCTATGTTATTTGTTCAAGTTTAATTTTACCCCCTTCAAACCGCGATTTTTAACGGTAAAACTCAAAAATTATTTTTTTTGAATTTTTATGACACTGGAGAATTGAATTCTGTAATCAGATTTTTTTTGTCATTTTGCTTAACGACGCGTAGTTTAGCCGTGAGAATTGTGAGACCTTTTGCGTGGTCACCCTAAAAGCATACTGTTGGCTTCGCCGGGCCCCACCTGAGCATATGCATGCTTTGGTTCTGTGAGGGGCCCGCTTTATGGGGCCCCTCCGGGCCCCGCCTCACCTCAGAATAAAACCAGCATCTCCAACTCCGGACCTGTTCTTATTACAGATGTAAACTATTAAATATACGTTTAACTTATTGTATTAAATCCTGGTCAACTATTAAATCGTTTCGCTTTGGATTAATTTAATGCTATCTTCTTAACCCCCAGGTTATTAGTCCTCTCTGTAAATTTCTTCACATCACGGACATCAAGGAGTGTCGGCTAGTCTGCCAATCTTGGAATTATGGAGCTACCCCTGTCCTTAAGTCTAGAACGAGGACAAGCTTTGAATTATGTCCCGAACCAGATATTTTAGATCTCGTAGAAAAATCAAACTTCTCTCCTGTCAACGTTTATCTCAAGAAAGAACCCGGACTTAGTCCGGGTTCTTTCTAGATCCAGAGTAAATAGTCCGGCGGACTATTTACTCTGGATCTAGAAATGCTGCCTCACATCGGGAATCTTAAATCAATTCATCTCGATTACTCTGTTCGTTATGGACAATATGATAGTTCGCTGGAATTCTGTAAGAAAATTATCCTGGCGTAGTCCCACAATCTGGAAGAGTTAGAGTTGAAGTGGGGTTATGGCTTCCCTCCTTTACAAGGTACCATCTTCCCAAAATTTAAAAAACTCGTGACACGTCGTATCTGGGATAGTGTCTTTTACCACGTGCCCATCACTGATCTTGGTCAGGCAATTGCGGAGTCGTTCCCAAATTTGGAATCTTTTGAGGCAGAATGCAAAACTTTGTGCAACTTGTGAAAGTTACAAATGATAGAAAAATTTCCCAGGTACGATTCTTTATAAATATTTGTGTACGTACAGGCCATTTCATAAGTATGTAACAGGTCAGACTGATTTTTTTAAATAATTAAATTGCTGAAAATATCTAGATTATAATTTCGAAAAGCCCGTCCCGTTGAAATTTTCTGTGAGATTCTACATAATTCTGATTGGCTATGGGAATTACGATTTAGGAAATTATGAAAACTGGTACTTAGTAAACTATTTATTTAGTTTTTTACCAGTTTATTTTGAACGCATGAAACTGTGTGCATTTCTAAACCCTGTCAATTTCCTATTAAAATTACCGTCGACCTGTTAATTATGAGATGCTGTGTATTTTTAAATTAATAAATTAAAAATTATTTAACCTTATTTTCCTGATTTCTCTTAGATCACTGAATTCTTTAACCATTGTGGAATCTTATGAGTTCCTGGTCGATGGATTACGGTGTTTACTGGACATTCCTCATAATTTGAAGAGACTTACCTTAAAGTCGTTGTTCATACGGGATAACATTGATCTGGTAGATCTGTCGTCAATTTTTTACAACATTTTAAAGAAACATTCGCCCGCGCTGGAAGAACTTTACACGACATACGACGCAGGAGTTTCGAAAGTGGATTGGAAATTTCCAGTTCTTCCAAAAATTAAAATATTGCATATATTTGCAGATATGTTTAAGAAAGTTAAATTCGAAAGTAGTCTCGGCTCAGGGTGTTTCGAAGGGATTGATTACCAGAAGTGTTTTCCTGTCTTGGAAAACTTGCATATTGACACGAGAACATATGATTTTTCTGGTATAACTGCATTTCTTCCGTTGGATGCTGACCAATATCAGGTATTGGAATCGCTGAAAGAAGTTGAAGTAAATTTTTTGCCATATGATTATTCTAACAATGGTTTGACAGAGTATCCGAAATCAGTTCAGGTTCGCATATACAGGCAATTGTTCGCTATCTTTCCAAACGCGAGAGATTCGATTAATAAGCAGTTAATGACAATTAATATGTCATAATTTGTTTTGTGTGTCGTTATGAAAGTTGCACATGTTTATCTAGCGAAGGTTACAAGTCTAGTTAATTTAATGTACTTGACAACTTGTTATGTAAGTATGCATGTATGTATAAATTATTGCTAAGCAGCATTGATTGATGTGTTGAATTCAGGTGTACTACATATATTACATGACAAATATTCAATATCAAAATTAGCATTTAAGTATGTATATTATGCTTTTGATCGATAAGATATAAATAATACCTACCTTTTAAGTTATCAACAAGTAAATGTTTTTATAAAACATAAACAAAATCGGATCACTCTTACTCGTCTTTTAATTTTTTATCGTAGCTATGATACAAATTATTACTTGCAACCCTATACTTAAATATGTACATATTTTCGTTAGCAAGAACTTGTCGTAGCTTAGCAACTATCAGTAATGTGTAAGTATGTGAAGTGAAGTGCATAAGACCATAGCTTTTAACGATCCAAAGTTCATATTTTATGACTTGAATTTTGATAGACTTTTAATACAAAATGTCCAAATTCAAATTTTTCATACATTTTCAATACATTAGATATTTTAGGATAAGAAAGTCAAGTACAATATTATAAAAGATGCGGTATCGTCACAGAAAAGCAGTGTCACTGTCATACTTATAAGATAAATAGTATCCTGAACATAAGTCGTACTAATTTAAGTAACGTTCTGAACCCTTCGTGCTAAAAATTTGTGTTATACAAACTTTCTACCACTATTAAATGTATAAAGTTAAAGCATGCATGATTGATGCTCTGTGTGCAATTGCATTTAAGTTGTATATGTCTCGTACAATTGCATAATGCAATTTGCATTGGCCGCGAATGAAGCTATAGAATTCTGCAAGTCATCGCTTTGTACCAGGATAAAATCTCTACCAAACCTCTCAAAAATTCGTGGTGGCAAGTACACTCAAAATAATTCTTTATAAGCGGCGGTGACCATATGTGACTCTGCCACCATGGTAATAAATTTGTTACCACAGGTTGTAAAGGTATTGCCAAGTTGGTAATATTTGTCACTCGCCAGCTGGCAACTATTGCCAGCCTGGTAATAAATGTACGACTGCTAAGCAACATATTTGTTACCATGGCGGTAGCGTCATATATATATATATAGTCACCGCCTGATAAAAGCCTGTTACCAGTTTATTTTGAGTGTACTTAGAGAGGAATTTTTTCAAATGCTTACTAGTAAAAGGATAATTTTTTATTCATCATGTTAGCAAAAAAACCTTTAAGACGAACCTTGTGATTTTTTTGTGGATCAGTACTGTATTTACTAGGATTTCTCATGGGGGGTCTAATTATAAGTTAATGGGAAAAGAGCTTGTTTGCTCCATATACAAGTAAAATTTATTTACCTGCCGAAGGACAGCGTGTATCTTCAATAAAATTTTAAGTAACTACTAATCAATTTGTTCTTCTTCTTCCCCCGGTGTCCTCAGAGAGAGGAGTATTGTATCTTTTATGTTGTCTGCTTTATTTCATCTGAACTTGGTAGCCAACCAAGTTGAGACATATTTGTTGGTTTGGTTTTGGGTTGGTTTTGCATACACAGATTATTATGGTGGAAGACCTGGTGGTCCCTGACAGTACAAAGTTAAGATCGAGTGTGGGAACATAAATATACTTAGATATGTGTAATATCATACTAAATTTTTGTATTACCCTTACAGTATTCCGAATCCTATGCATTTAATAGATAAGGCGCTTCAAAATTATTTAATTGATCACGATGTCTTTTCTTCATATACAACTTCTCCATGAATTGTTTCCTTTTCAGGGCAGCCTTATTTTCCTTATAGCTGTGTAATAAAGTGTTGGGTTGATCCCTTGGATATATAATTTGGGAAAATCGATCTGTAATCAAAGATGATGTTTTATTTACAATTGATTAATTAAAATTGAAGTCTTTTTAAATAATTTGACCTATGTACCTCTTTCTTTACTTGTCAAAGGAGTTGAACTTGGATCATGGTCATTTCTGGTGGCAACGCCTCCAGGTTGAACTTTAGCCACACTTTCAGGTGGTGGAAGTAACTTGTATACCTTCAACGTTTCCTTGTGTTCATTTCCATAACATTCTCTCCGATAACTATGAACTTCCTTCAAAATTTTAAGACCTTCTTCAGTTGCCTCATCTGTTCCAATCCGTACTAAGCAACGGCCTAAATTGAATTGTGCAGTCCTTCTCAGATCGATATTTTTGATTTTAACCGCGATTCGAAATTGATCAATTGCCTTCTCAAACAAATCCCGTTTATAAAAGTAGTATCCTAGTGTTCGAACGGATTCTAGATATTCTGATTCAGGCTGTAATCTTTGCTGAATCAATTCCTCCAATGTTTCTTCTGCTTCCTTAAACCGACCCAATTCAATGTAAGCGCTTGCTATATTCCTTCTAGTTATAAAAACTTTGGGGTGTCCCTTAAATGAATCGCCATATAGTTGGCGCTGTTGATCCAAAACCTTTTGAAAACATTTCAGGGCGGCTTTATGCTCTTTCTTGTAATAGTGAATTCCCCCAATAGAATTTAGAATCCCTACTGAATATGCCGCATGTTCCCCAAATGCTTCACAGGAGCCTTGATACATTTCTTTATAGATTGTCATGGCGGTGTCCGTATCCCGAAATCTGGTAAGTGCTGAGGCATATTGTTTCGATAGATCCATCCCGATTTTAAGAGTCTTGTGTCCCGAAAAGCTACACCATTTGTGTACAGCTTCTGTAAAGCATAATTTTTCTCGGAACAGAGTTAACCCTTCTAAGCGTTTTACTATGCTCAATCCCACTGCCAAGATATGTTCTGGTTCTTTATCGTTGTTGGTTTGCAAAAGTTGAGGAAAGATGTGCACAAATTGAAGAAGTTCTAATTGAGAAAAGTCACTAACCTCATCGGTCTTGCTGAATATGAATGTTGTTAACCATTTTAGAGCATCCCCGTTTTGATCACATAATTGTTTCAAGTACGGTTGCGCTGCTGAGCTAACCTCAAAAAATTCGTCATCTTCATCATCGACGAAGGAGATTAACAAAGCCTGTTTAAGGATTGCCAGAGTGGGCCTGAGCTCGTTATTCTCATTCTCTGGTAAGATTTTCTTGATAAGTGCGATACTTATTTCTTGAGGTCTTAAATGTGCTAATATTTGAAGCAGTTTCCAAGCATATGGTTTCTCCTGCATATTATTAATTACAACCTTCAGAGTATCGGAAAGGCAGTTTTGAAATTGTTTGCTTGTTTCGCTTCCGTTACTTCCGCTTGTTCTGGAATTTTCCAATAGTTTTATAAATTCTGTAAGTGAGAGGGGAATGGAGCTAATCTCGCTATTCTTTTTTCTAATGTATGATGCAGCATACTCCAGAGCAATGGGATAATTGTGGGCCATAGCGCAAATTAATTTTAGATTATTCAAATTTTCTGGTTTGACAATTTTTATTCTTAGTAAACTTTGCAAATATTCGTTTGCTTCTGAATCGGATAGGGGATCGATTTTCCTTGCTTCGCCCTTGTCTTCTAATTCAGAACTTTTAAAACGGATAACTGCAACTATCATTACTTCATTTCTGCAAGTTTCCAGTAAGCTCAATAAGTCATATTGTTTTATAATAGATTCTTGACAATTCTCCAGGATCAGAATCCATTTGCATTTTGCGAGTTTATAAATTTCATTCGAAATGACCCCCAGCAAATTGTTTGGTTTCCATGTCTCCAACTTCTTCAGATTTACGGGCAGAGAGATTTTATGTATATCCTGAATATATTTTCCAAAGGAGGCACAATCGTTATGAAAATTTAATGCATTGATGCAATCCAAGGAAGCACACGCAAGATCATCAATTGATTTACTGGTTTCCAAGATAAACTGTGACACAGTCCTGCTCTTGCCCATCCCTTCTAATCCATAGACAGTAACGAAGTTAGATTTTGGCTGCGAATACTGTTCCCTAAGCCACTTGATGTTGTCACCTCCGCCGAAAAATTTGCCGGGATAATTCTTCATATGAAAGCGAATGGGAGAATGGAAGGACATTCCGGTTAACCGGTCTGAAATTATGAATCAGTTTTCTATATCAATTCACCCATTTTCATTTACTCTATCTATGGCATCGAGCCATGCAAATTATATTGTTATCTAATTAATTATTTATTTATTAATTATTTCTAATTTATACTAGAAATAACCATTATTACAATCGCAACATCTATTGCACATAAAAGAAAAGAATAGAATTTAGAATATGAACAAAATTTAATGCACCACCATGTCCTCCATATTATATAGCTGAAACTTTCTTAAGTATACGAGACAACGTAATAGCTAAAACTCTCACTACGGCAGTGGGCCATTAAATACATGCCATATAATATTGGACACGCTCTTAGGCATTTGGTATATATATAAATGCAAAATATAAAAATGGAAGTAATCATACCATATAATTTTGCATGCTGGCAATTTTTCAATTCATGCAATAGTTTTTTTTCAAAATCCTCAGACTTCTCACTCATACCGTAATCTACTAGATCATTAATTAGACTATATGGCTGCAATTCGCCATGACGTAGCTTATCTTCCAAAATTCTCAAACTAACAGCACGTGTAGGATCTAATATTCTCCCATAAATCTCTTTCCAGTCAAGAAGTAGAGGATCTTCCAAGTGAGCCTTTTTAATTTGCTGGATTCTTTTCAACAAATTATCCATTTTGAAAAATATTACAAGAAACGAAAGAAGTGGACAAAAACTAATTGCATCAACAAGTTCTGCAATTGGCTCGCTATTGACGGAGGATAAATCATTTCAATATATAAAGATACTCACATCCTGCTTTGATAAGTATGCTTTGATAAGGCTGGACAAATATACAACCGCTTTTCTAAACACTGATTAAACGGTTGGCATAATAAAACTGATAAGAATTATAAACAAAATATCGCTTTTATCTGTTAATCGATAATAGTGGTATTCCTGCATGCATACATACAATTATGCAAAGTGTTCACCCTATATGTTGGAATTTTCAGAAAAATTTTAAAACAGGTTGATAATATACAGAACGACATCTTTCATTCAGGATAATTACATATATGCAGGATAAAAATATGTATGTATATTTTAGTGGCACATTACTCAAAAACAAAATATGCAGGTTGATTTAAGTGTTTTTTTTAGCCTCAAAATAAGAAATTTAGGTATGGCGCTTTCATAAATATCAATTTTAATTGATCGAATTGATTGATCGAATCCTTTATTGTTTGTAATTATCAACTGTTTGTTATTTGTTTACAAATAAAACTTTATTAATTATGCATACATGTTGCAGAATAATTATATCTCGAATAGAAAATCCAGTATTTACTACAATTTTCTCTTTAACCACTCCTTAAGAGAATGTCCCAATTGGGTTCGAACCAACAATCTTTGGGATCGGAAGGAACTCACTTTGTAATTGACCTTAAACAAAGAAGAAGATTATTTAAGAAATCAATTTATTTTAATATAATAAAAATAATATACCTGCAGTGGTAGTAAAATCCGCAATGGTCAACTCCATAACCAAATCATGTAAAGTTGCATTTCCTCCACTTTTCTTGATCCATCGCTCCAATATTTTCGAGATGGCCTGCCCATTGTTAAAATTTCTCATGTCGACATCTTCCAACTTAGCCGTACCAGACAGAACAATACAAAATTGGTACCATTTTTCTTTAACAGCGCAATCCTTCCGAAGCGCGTCGGCAACTTGAGTTAACGGAAATTTGGACATTACACGAGGAGATGATCAAGTAGTAGCTGGGGTGGAATTGGGGACAATATTATTCTTCAACAGCCAGATTGTAACCTACTCAGTTAGCACACAGATTGGGCATTTCTCGCAACTAAGGAAACGATGGAAGAACCTAAAATACCATGTTGACAAATAAAGAGCAATGACTTTTATTTTACTTTTATTTACTTTTATTTTTGGATCAGGCTATGTAAATAAGTTTGTACAGTAGATATATATTTCTATTTTATCCGTTATGTATGTATGTTGGTTATGAATCGTTTGCCTTAGTTTACTCTTATTGACGGACCTACATACAATAAATATATGTATTGACTTATCTTTCTCATTCAGAAAATTGGTAACATAAAATTCAATCGAATGTACAAATATGCTTTTTGAGCTAATAAAAACTTGATAACCCAATTGTATTGTATTGTATTTTCACACCGATTAACCTGACAAATCATTTATTTGACGGCGATACCATGTCCTGGTTTACATCAATGTAAACAGTAAATGCAATCAGCCCGATGGGCTCCTTATATATTTATGTGGTATACAGTTACCTGTTTAGTAGCAGGATGGATTTAATCGAGCAAGTTTCAAAGTATGGAATGAAAATATGGCAAATCAATCAATACTTATTCAAAAATTTGCAACACATTCTGTTTACAAAACTGGAAAAATTCTGGGGCAAGGATCTTTTTCTGTGGTTGATAAACGTAAGTACGTAAATTTTTAGAAAGTTATATCACATCAAAAATAATATTTTATTTGATTATTTTAATTAGGAATTTTGGGGGGTAATTATGTCGCTATTAAAACAATAAGAAGGCAAAGCAATATACTTTGTCAAGTTAACGAAATTAATATTTTAAGTCGGCTTTGCCATGATAATGTTGTTAAAATGTTTGGTGTCCTTGATGATCCAGATCCAGGTAAAATAATTTTAACAATTTAAATTTAAAATCTAATTACTTAGTATCTGTACTGATAAATGCAATATTGAAGATACCAAAATCGTACTGGAATATCTAGAATGCGGTTGCTTATTTGAATATGTGTTAAAGACAGAAATGACTGAGGTATGTATATGTACAGCGATATCTACTTAATTAAAGTGGATTGACTTATCAAATTAATTGATTCCAGTCGGATCAACTAATTATACTCAAAGGTATCTCCAAAGGTATGCAATATCTGCACGAGATGAATGTGATCCACAGGGACCTCGCATCCAGAAATATATTGTTGGGGTCGCAATTGACTGCAAAAATTTCAGATTTTGGGTTCAGCGTGCTTACAACTGTTGCCAATTTTTACGCATATTTCGAATATTCGGTGAGTGCCTGGAAGATAATTTTATACAAGCAGAATATCATTTAAACTGTTACACTGTGGGACGTTTAGAAAGAAGAACTTAATCGCATGCCATATCGCTATCTTCCTCCTGAGAGCGTTGCAGGGCTACTTGATACACCTGGGACAAAGTGCGTCTACTCTAAATCTGGAGATGTTTGGTCATATGCTGCAATAATTTATGAAATGATGGTGCCCGGGAAGGTTCCATTTCATGAATTTGGGACAAACAATGTGGTGGTATGAATAAAATTCTTGTTGGAACACCTCAGATATTTGTAGCTAATGGAGAGGAGAATCTGCTTTCTGGACAATCGAGCTTAGATTCAGGGTCTCCTAAACACAGTGGTTTATGCATTTCCTGAAAAAAACATCGATTAAACATACGATTTTTAAACGCCGTCAAAGCATACTCCATTTTTTGATCAAGTTCTGATCCAAAAAACACTGAGGTAATGATGTTTTATTTTGACAGGAAATTGTACGACGAATTTGCAAAGGATTCTATCCAATGTGTTGCCCTACCAAATCAAATAGCTTTATGAGTAATTTATCACAAGCAATATTTAAATGTCCGCGAGATCAACGACCGACTTTCGAAGAGATTCTAAAGACCATTGAGAATCGTCTGGAATGTTTATCCGTCAATGATTTCGCAATTTCACATCAGCCAATCTCCCAAGCACAAAAAACCGAAGATGGAACCAACATGACCAACGTTGCTTTAGGGAGTGTGGACAGCGGGATTGGTAGCACATCATTTAGCATGGATAGTACTTGTGGTATTGATGTTATTACTAATTTGCTTTTTAACAAGATTATTAAACTCATCTTGCTATCTATAGATAACGACGAATTGGACCAATTAAAGAACTGTTCCGATATTAAAGCTGCAGTTGTGCTTCAAAATGTCACAACCGTTTTGCCCGACATGGATTTTGCAGAGGGAATTTTTAAAAAGTTTGGAAGACCGAACCTTAAAATTAATGCGATTAAAAGACTAAGCTCTAAATCACTCGCGATCGTGGTTAAGAGCAGATCCAGTAATACAACAATGAATCCTGAAATGATTAAGGCCTTGTCCTCCATGGTGAATGACATTAAAGCATGCTCCTCTGTGTACAGTAGTTCAATAAAGGTAGATTTATATAATCGTGAGGAATTTAACCTTGACGAAACTGGTTGATGGTTTATGTCGGTGCTAAGCTTAGAAACTACGCTTGGTTAATTTCTAAAAGGTTATTTTTAACAAGTATATAATTACAGTGTGTGACACTATTGACTCACTTAAAAAACGCCAGCGTGATGTTTTTGTTCCCGCATGTTATATTTCTTTATCCAAATCTTTTTTTCCAGTAAGCTCAATAAGTCATATTGTTTTATAATAGATTCTTGACAATTCTCCAGGATCAGAATCCATTTGCATTTTGCGAGTTTATAAATTTCATTCGAAATGACCCCCAGCAAATTGTTTGGTTTCCATGTCTCCAACTTCTTCAGATTTACGGGCAGAGAGATTTTATGTATATCCTGAATATATTTTCCAAAGGAGGCACAATCGTTATGAAAATTTAATGCATTGATGCAATCCAAGGAAGCACACGCAAGATCATCAATTGATTTACTGGTTTCCAAGATAAACTGTGACACAGTCCTGCTCTTGCCCATCCCTTCTAATCCATAGACAGTAACGAAGTTAGATTTTGGCTGCGAATACTGTTCCCTAAGCCACTTGATGTTGTCACCTCCGCCGAAAAATTTGCCGGGATAATTCTTCATATGAAAGCGAATGGGAGAATGGAAGGACATTCCGGTTAACCGGTCTGAAATTATGAATCAGTTTTCTATATCAATTCACCCATTTTCATTTACTCTATCTATGGCATCGAGCCATGCAAATTATATTGTTATCTAATTAATTATTTATTTATTAATTATTTCTAATTTATACTAGAAATAACCATTATTACAATCGCAACATCTATTGCACATAAAAGAAAAGAATAGAATTTAGAATATGAACAAAATTTAATGCACCACCATGTCCTCCATATTATATAGCTGAAACTTTCTTAAGTATACGAGACAACGTAATAGCTAAAACTCTCACTACGGCAGTGGGCCATTAAATACATGCCATATAATATTGGACACGCTCTTAGGCATTTGGTATATATATAAATGCAAAATATAAAAATGGAAGTAATCATACCATATAATTTTGCATGCTGGCAATTTTTCAATTCATGCAATAGTTTTTTTTCAAAATCCTCAGACTTCTCACTCATACCGTAATCTACTAGATCATTAATTAGACTATATGGCTGCAATTCGCCATGACGTAGCTTATCTTCCAAAATTCTCAAACTAACAGCACGTGTAGGATCTAATATTCTCCCATAAATCTCTTTCCAGTCAAGAAGTAGAGGATCTTCCAAGTGAGCCTTTTTAATTTGCTGGATTCTTTTCAACAAATTATCCATTTTGAAAAATATTACAAGAAACGAAAGAAGTGGACAAAAACTAATTGCATCAACAAGTTCTGCAATTGGCTCGCTATTGACGGAGGATAAATCATTTCAATATATAAAGATACTCACATCCTGCTTTGATAAGTATGCTTTGATAAGGCTGGACAAATATACAACCGCTTTTCTAAACACTGATTAAACGGTTGGCATAATAAAACTGATAAGAATTATAAACAAAATATCGCTTTTATCTGTTAATCGATAATAGTGGTATTCCTGCATGCATACATACAATTATGCAAAGTGTTCACCCTATATGTTGGAATTTTCAGAAAAATTTTAAAACAGGTTGATAATATACAGAACGACATCTTTCATTCAGGATAATTACATATATGCAGGATAAAAATATGTATGTATATTTTAGTGGCACATTACTCAAAAACAAAATATGCAGGTTGATTTAAGTGTTTTTTTTAGCCTCAAAATAAGAAATTTAGGTATGGCGCTTTCATAAATATCAATTTTAATTGATCGAATTGATTGATCGAATCCTTTATTGTTTGTAATTATCAACTGTTTGTTATTTGTTTACAAATAAAACTTTATTAATTATGCATACATGTTGCAGAATAATTATATCTCGAATAGAAAATCCAGTATTTACTACAATTTTCTCTTTAACCACTCCTTAAGAGAATGTCCCAATTGGGTTCGAACCAACAATCTTTGGGATCGGAAGGAACTCACTTTGTAATTGACCTTAAACAAAGAAGAAGATTATTTAAGAAATCAATTTATTTTAATATAATAAAAATAATATACCTGCAGTGGTAGTAAAATCCGCAATGGTCAACTCCATAACCAAATCATGTAAAGTTGCATTTCCTCCACTTTTCTTGATCCATCGCTCCAATATTTTCGAGATGGCCTGCCCATTGTTAAAATTTCTCATGTCGACATCTTCCAACTTAGCCGTACCAGACAGAACAATACAAAATTGGTACCATTTTTCTTTAACAGCGCAATCCTTCCGAAGCGCGTCGGCAACTTGAGTTAACGGAAATTTGGACATTACACGAGGAGATGATCAAGTAGTAGCTGGGTGGAATTGGGGACAATATTATTCTTCAACAGCCAGATTGTAACCTACTCAGTTAGCACACAGATTGGGCATTTCTCGCAACTAAGGAAACGATGGAAGAACCTAAAATACCATGTTGACAAATAAAGAGCAATGACTTTTATTTTACTTTTATTTACTTTTATTTTTGGATCAGGCTATGTAAATAAGTTTGTACAGTAGATATATATTTCTATTTTATCCGTTATGTATGTATGTTGGTTATGAATCGTTTGCCTTAGTTTACTCTTATTGACGGACCTACATACAATAAATATATGTATTGACTTATCTTTCTCATTCAGAAAATTGGTAACATAAAATTCAATCGAATCTACAAATATGTTTTTTGAGCTAATAAAAACTTGATAACCCAATTGTATTGTATTGTATTTTCACACCGATTAACCTGACAAATCATTTATTTGACGGCGATACCATGTCCTGGTTTACATCAATGTAAACAGTAAATGCAATCAGCCCGATGGGCTCCTTATATATTTATGTGGTATACAGTTACCTGTTTAGTAGCAGGATGGATTTAATCGAGCAAGTTTCAAAGTATGGAATGAAAATATGGCAAATCAATCAATACTTATTCAAAAATTTGCAACACATTCTGTTTACAAAACTGGAAAAATTCTGGGGCAAGGATCTTTTTCTGTGGTTGATAAACGTAAGTACGTAAATTTTTAGAAAGTTATATCACATCAAAAATAATATTTTATTTGATTATTTTAATTAGGAATTTTGGGGGTAATTATGTCGCTATTAAAACAATAAGAAGGCAAAGCAATATACTTTGTCAAGTTAACGAAATTAATATTTTAAGTCGGCTTTGCCATGATAATGTTGTTAAAATGTTTGGTGTCCTTGATGATCCAGATCCAGGTAAAATAATTTTTAACAATTTAAATTTAAAATCTAATTACTTAGTATCTGTACTGATAAATGCAATATTGAAGATACCAAAATCGTACTGGAATATCTAGAATGCGGTTGCTTATTTGAATATGTGTTAAAGACAGAAATGACTGAGGTATGTATATGTACAGCGATATCTACTTAATTAAAGTGGATTGACTTATCAAATTAATTGATTCCAGTCGGATCAACTAATTATACTCAAAGGTATCTCCAAAGGTATGCAATATCTGCACGAGATGAATGTGATCCACAGGGACCTCGCATCCAGAAATATATTGTTGGGGTCGCAATTGACTGCAAAAATTTCAGATTTTGGGTTCAGCGTGCTTACAACTGTTGCCAATTTTTACGCATATTTCGAATATTCGGTGAGTGCCTGGAAGATAATTTTATACAAGCAGAATATCATTTAAACTGTTACACTGTGGGACGTTTAGAAAGAAGAACTTAATCGCATGCCATATCGCTATCTTCCTCCTGAGAGCGTTGCAGGGCTACTTGATACACCTGGGACAAAGTGCGTCTACTCTAAATCTGGAGATGTTTGGTCATATGCTGCAATAATTTATGAAATGATGGTGCCCGGGAAGGTTCCATTTCATGAATTGGGACAAACAATGTGGTGGTATGAATAAAATTCTTGTTGGAACACCTCAGATATTTGTAGCTAATGGAGAGGAGAATCTGCTTTCTGGACAATCGAGCTTAGATTCAGGGTCTCCTAAACACAGTGGTTTATGCATTTCCTGAAAAAAACATCGATTAAACATACGATTTTTAAACGCCGTCAAAGCATACTCCATTTTTTGATCAAGTTCTGATCCAAAAAACACTGAGGTAATGATGTTTTATTTTGACAGGAAATTGTACGACGAATTTGCAAAGGATTCTATCCAATGTGTTGCCCTACCAAATCAAATAGCTTTATGAGTAATTTATCACAAGCAATATTTAAATGTCCGCGAGATCAACGACCGACTTTCGAAGAGATTCTAAAGACCATTGAGAATCGTCTGGAATGTTATCCGTCAATGATTTCGCAATTTCACATCAGCCAATCTCCCAAGCACAAAAAACCGAAGATGGAACCAACATGACCAACGTTGCTTTAGGGAGTGTGGACAGCGGGATTGGTAGCACATCATTTAGCATGGATAGTACTTGTGGTATTGATGTTATTACTAATTTGCTTTTTAACAAGATTATTAAACTCATCTTGCTATCTATAGATAACGACGAATTGGACCAATTAAAGAACTGTTCCGATATTAAAGCTGCAGTTGTGCTTCAAAATGTCACAACCGTTTTGCCCGACATGGATTTTGCAGAGGGAATTTTTAAAAAGTTTGGAAGACCGAACCTTAAAATTAATGCGATTAAAAGACTAAGCTCTAAATCACTCGCGATCGTGGTTAAGAGCAGATCCAGTAATACAACAATGAATCCTGAAATGATTAAGGCCTTGTCCTCCATGGTGAATGACATTAAAGCATGCTCCTCTGTGTACAGTAGTTCAATAAAGGTAGATTTATATAATCGTGAGGAATTTAACCTTGACGAAACTGGTTGATGGTTTATGTCGGTGCTAAGCTTAGAAACTACGCTTGGTTAATTTCTAAAAGGTTATTTTTAACAAGTATATAATTACAGTGTGTGACACTATTGACTCACTTAAAAAACGCCAGCGTGATGTTTTGTTCCCGCATGTTATATTTCTTTATCCAAATCTTTTTTTCCAGTAAGCTCAATAAGTCATATTGTTTTATAATAGATTCTTGACAATTCTCCAGGATCAGAATCCATTTGCATTTTGCGAGTTTATAAATTTCATTCGAAATGACCCCCAGCAAATTGTTTGGTTTCCATGTCTCCAACTTCTTCAGATTTACGGGCAGAGAGATTTTATGTATATCCTGAATATATTTTCCAAAGGAGGCACAATCGTTATGAAAATTTAATGCATTGATGCAATCCAAGGAAGCACACGCAAGATCATCAATTGATTTACTGGTTTCCAAGATAAACTGTGACACAGTCCTGCTCTTGCCCATCCCTTCTAATCCATAGACAGTAACGAAGTTAGATTTTGGCTGCGAATACTGTTCCCTAAGCCACTTGATGTTGTCACCTCCGCCGAAAAATTTGCCGGGATAATTCTTCATATGAAAGCGAATGGGAGAATGGAAGGACATTCCGGTTAACCGGTCTGAAATTATGAATCAGTTTTCTATATCAATTCACCCATTTTCATTTACTCTATCTATGGCATCGAGCCATGCAAATTATATTGTTATCTAATTAATTATTTATTTATTAATTATTTCTAATTTATACTAGAAATAACCATTATTACAATCGCAACATCTATTGCACATAAAGAAAAGAATAGAATTTAGAATATGAACAAAATTTAATGCACCACCATGTCCTCCATATTATATAGCTGAAACTTTCTTAAGTATACGAGACAACGTAATAGCTAAAACTCTCACTACGGCAGTGGGCCATTAAATACATGCCATATAATATTGGACACGCTCTTAGGCATTTGGTATATATATAAATGCAAAATATAAAAATGGAAGTAATCATACCATATAATTTTGCATGCTGGCAATTTTTCAATTCATGCAATAGTTTTTTTTCAAAATCCTCAGACTTCTCACTCATACCGTAATCTACTAGATCATTAATTAGACTATATGGCTGCAATTCGCCATGACGTAGCTTATCTTCCAAAATTCTCAAACTAACAGCACGTGTAGGATCTAATATTCTCCCATAAATCTCTTTCCAGTCAAGAAGTAGAGGATCTTCCAAGTGAGCCTTTTTAATTTGCTGGATTCTTTTCAACAAATTATCCATTTTGAAAAATATTACAAGAAACGAAAGAAGTGGACAAAAACTAATTGCATCAACAAGTTCTGCAATTGGCTCGCTATTGACGGAGGATAAATCATTTCAATATATAAAGATACTCACATCCTGCTTTGATAAGTATGCTTTGATAAGGCTGGACAAATATACAACCGCTTTTCTAAACACTGATTAAACGGTTGGCATAATAAAACTGATAAGAATTATAAACAAAATATCGCTTTTATCTGTTAATCGATAATAGTGGTATTCCTGCATGCATACATACAATTATGCAAAGTGTTCACCCTATATGTTGGAATTTTCAGAAAAATTTTAAAACAGGTTGATAATATACAGAACGACATCTTTCATTCAGGATAATTACATATATGCAGGATAAAAATATGTATGTATATTTTAGTGGCACATTACTCAAAAACAAAATATGCAGGTTGATTTAAGTGTTTTTTTTAGCCTCAAAATAAGAAATTTAGGTATGGCGCTTTCATAAATATCAATTTTAATTGATCGAATTGATTGATCGAATCCTTTATTGTTTGTAATTATCAACTGTTTGTTATTTGTTTACAAATAAAACTTTATTAATTATGCATACATGTTGCAGAATAATTATATCTCGAATAGAAAATCCAGTATTTACTACAATTTTCTCTTTAACCACTCCTTAAGAGAATGTCCCAATTGGGTTCGAACCAACAATCTTTGGGATCGGAAGGAACTCACTTTGTAATTGACCTTAAACAAAGAAGAAGATTATTTAAGAAATCAATTTATTTTAATATAATAAAAATAATATACCTGCAGTGGTAGTAAAATCCGCAATGGTCAACTCCATAACCAAATCATGTAAAGTTGCATTTCCTCCACTTTTCTTGATCCATCGCTCCAATATTTTCGAGATGGCCTGCCCATTGTTAAAATTTCTCATGTCGACATCTTCCAACTTAGCCGTACCAGACAGAACAATACAAAATTGGTACCATTTTTCTTTAACAGCGCAATCCTTCCGAAGCGCGTCGGCAACTTGAGTTAACGGAAATTTGGACATTACACGAGGAGATGATCAAGTAGTAGCTGGGGTGGAATTGGGGACAATATTATTCTTCAACAGCCAGATTGTAACCTACTCAGTTAGCACACAGATTGGGCATTTCTCGCAACTAAGGAAACGATGGAAGAACCTAAAATACCATGTTGACAAATAAAGAGCAATGACTTTTATTTTACTTTTATTTACTTTTATTTTTGGATCAGGCTATGTAAATAAGTTTGTACAGTAGATATATATTTCTATTTTATCCGTTATGTATGTATGTTGGTTATGAATCGTTTGCCTTAGTTTACTCTTATTGACGGACCTACATACAATAAATATATGTATTGACTTATCTTTCTCATTCAGAAAATTGGTAACATAAAATTCAATCGAATCTACAAATATGTTTTTGAGCTAATAAAAACTTGATAACCCAATTGTATTGTATTGTATTTTCACACCGATTAACCTGACAAATCATTTATTTGACGGCGATACCATGTCCTGGTTTACATCAATGTAAACAGTAAATGCAATCAGCCCGATGGGCTCCTTATATATTTATGTGGTATACAGTTACCTGTTTAGTAGCAGGATGGATTTAATCGAGCAAGTTTCAAAGTATGGAATGAAAATATGGCAAATCAATCAATACTTATTCAAAAATTTGCAACACATTCTGTTTACAAAACTGGAAAAATTCTGGGGCAAGGATCTTTTTCTGTGGTTGATAAACGTAAGTACGTAAATTTTTAGAAAGTTATATCACATCAAAAATAATATTTTATTTGATTATTTTAATTAGGAATTTTGGGGGGTAATTATGTCGCTATTAAAACAATAAGAAGGCAAAGCAATATACTTTGTCAAGTTAACGAAATTAATATTTAAGTCGGCTTTGCCATGATAATGTTGTTAAAATGTTTGGTGTCCTTGATGATCCAGATCCAGGTAAAATAATTTTTAACAATTTAAATTTAAAATCTAATTACTTAGTATCTGTACTGATAAATGCAATATTGAAGATACCAAAATCGTACTGGAATATCTAGAATGCGGTTGCTTATTTGAATATGTGTTAAAGACAGAAATGACTGAGGTATGTATATGTACAGCGATATCTACTTAATTAAAGTGGATTGACTTATCAAATTAATTGATTCCAGTCGGATCAACTAATTATACTCAAAGGTATCTCCAAAGGTATGCAATATCTGCACGAGATGAATGTGATCCACAGGGACCTCGCATCCAGAAATATATTGTTGGGGTCGCAATTGACTGCAAAAATTTCAGATTTGGGTTCAGCGTGCTTACAACTGTTGCCAATTTTTACGCATATTTCGAATATTCGGTGAGTGCCTGGAAGATAATTTTATACAAGCAGAATATCATTTAAACTGTTACACTGTGGGACGTTTAGAAAGAAGAACTTAATCGCATGCCATATCGCTATCTTCCTCCTGAGAGCGTTGCAGGGCTACTTGATACACCTGGGACAAAGTGCGTCTACTCTAAATCTGGAGATGTTTGGTCATATGCTGCAATAATTTATGAAATGATGGTGCCCGGGAAGGTTCCATTTCATGAATTTGGGACAAACAATGTGGTGGTATGAATAAAATTCTTGTTGGAACACCTCAGATATTTGTAGCTAATGGAGAGGAGAATCTGCTTTCTGGACAATCGAGCTTAGATTCAGGGTCTCCTAAACACAGTGGTTTATGCATTTCCTGAAAAAAACATCGATTAAACATACGATTTTTAAACGCCGTCAAAGCATACTCCATTTTTTGATCAAGTTCTGATCCAAAAAACACTGAGGTAATGATGTTTTATTTTGACAGGAAATTGTACGACGAATTTGCAAAGGATTCTATCCAATGTGTTGCCCTACCAAATCAAATAGCTTTATGAGTAATTTATCACAAGCAATATTTAAATGTCCGCGAGATCAACGACCGACTTTCGAAGAGATTCTAAAGACCATTGAGAATCGTCTGGAATGTTTATCCGTCAATGATTTCGCAATTTCACATCAGCCAATCTCCCAAGCACAAAAAACCGAAGATGGAACCAACATGACCAACGTTGCTTTAGGGAGTGTGGACAGCGGGATTGGTAGCACATCATTTAGCATGGATAGTACTTGTGGTATTGATGTTATTACTAATTTGCTTTTTAACAAGATTATTAAACTCATCTTGCTATCTATAGATAACGACGAATTGGACCAATTAAAGAACTGTTCCGATATTAAAGCTGCAGTTGTGCTTCAAAATGTCACAACCGTTTTGCCCGACATGGATTTTGCAGAGGGAATTTTTAAAAAGTTTGGAAGACCGAACCTTAAAATTAATGCGATTAAAAGACTAAGCTCTAAATCACTCGCGATCGTGGTTAAGAGCAGATCCAGTAATACAACAATGAATCCTGAAATGATTAAGGCCTTGTCCTCCATGGTGAATGACATTAAAGCATGCTCCTCTGTGTACAGTAGTTCAATAAAGGTAGATTTATATAATCGTGAGGAATTTAACCTTGACGAAACTGGTTGATGGTTTATGTCGGTGCTAAGCTTAGAAACTACGCTTGGTTAATTTCTAAAAGGTTATTTTTAACAAGTATATAATTACAGTGTGTGACACTATTGACTCACTTAAAAAACGCCAGCGTGATGTTTTTGTTCCCGCATGTTATATTTCTTTATCCAAATCTTTTTTTCCAGTAAGCTCAATAAGTCATATTGTTTTATAATAGATTCTTGACAATTCTCCAGGATCAGAATCCATTTGCATTTTGCGAGTTTATAAATTTCATTCGAAATGACCCCCAGCAAATTGTTTGGTTTCCATGTCTCCAACTTCTTCAGATTTACGGGCAGAGAGATTTTATGTATATCCTGAATATATTTTCCAAAGGAGGCACAATCGTTATGAAAATTTAATGCATTGATGCAATCCAAGGAAGCACACGCAAGATCATCAATTGATTTACTGGTTTCCAAGATAAACTGTGACACAGTCCTGCTCTTGCCCATCCCTTCTAATCCATAGACAGTAACGAAGTTAGATTTTGGCTGCGAATACTGTTCCCTAAGCCACTTGATGTTGTCACCTCCGCCGAAAAATTTGCCGGGATAATTCTTCATATGAAAGCGAATGGGAGAATGGAAGGACATTCCGGTTAACCGGTCTGAAATTATGAATCAGTTTTCTATATCAATTCACCCATTTTCATTTACTCTATCTATGGCATCGAGCCATGCAAATTATATTGTTATCTAATTAATTATTTATTTATTAATTATTTCTAATTTATACTAGAAATAACCATTATTACAATCGCAACATCTATTGCACATAAAAGAAAAGAATAGAATTTAGAATATGAACAAAATTTAATGCACCACCATGTCCTCCATATTATATAGCTGAAACTTTCTTAAGTATACGAGACAACGTAATAGCTAAAACTCTCACTACGGCAGTGGGCCATTAAATACATGCCATATAATATTGGACACGCTCTTAGGCATTTGGTATATATATAAATGCAAAATATAAAAATGGAAGTAATCATACCATATAATTTTGCATGCTGGCAATTTTTCAATTCATGCAATAGTTTTTTTTCAAAATCCTCAGACTTCTCACTCATACCGTAATCTACTAGATCATTAATTAGACTATATGGCTGCAATTCGCCATGACGTAGCTTATCTTCCAAAATTCTCAAACTAACAGCACGTGTAGGATCTAATATTCTCCCATAAATCTCTTTCCAGTCAAGAAGTAGAGGATCTTCCAAGTGAGCCTTTTTAATTTGCTGGATTCTTTTCAACAAATTATCCATTTTGAAAAATATTACAAGAAACGAAAGAAGTGGACAAAAACTAATTGCATCAACAAGTTCTGCAATTGGCTCGCTATTGACGGAGGATAAATCATTTCAATATATAAAGATACTCACATCCTGCTTTGATAAGTATGCTTTGATAAGGCTGGACAAATATACAACCGCTTTTCTAAACACTGATTAAACGGTTGGCATAATAAAACTGATAAGAATTATAAACAAAATATCGCTTTTATCTGTTAATCGATAATAGTGGTATTCCTGCATGCATACATACAATTATGCAAAGTGTTCACCCTATATGTTGGAATTTTCAGAAAAATTTTAAAACAGGTTGATAATATACAGAACGACATCTTTCATTCAGGATAATTACATATATGCAGGATAAAAATATGTATGTATATTTTAGTGGCACATTACTCAAAAACAAAATATGCAGGTTGATTTAAGTGTTTTTTTTAGCCTCAAAATAAGAAATTTAGGTATGGCGCTTTCATAAATATCAATTTTAATTGATCGAATTGATTGATCGAATCCTTTATTGTTTGTAATTATCAACTGTTTGTTATTTGTTTACAAATAAAACTTTATTAATTATGCATACATGTTGCAGAATAATTATATCTCGAATAGAAAATCCAGTATTTACTACAATTTTCTCTTTAACCACTCCTTAAGAGAATGTCCCAATTGGGTTCGAACCAACAATCTTTGGGATCGGAAGGAACTCACTTTGTAATTGACCTTAAACAAAGAAGAAGATTATTTAAGAAATCAATTTATTTTAATATAATAAAAATAATATACCTGCAGTGGTAGTAAAATCCGCAATGGTCAACTCCATAACCAAATCATGTAAAGTTGCATTTCCTCCACTTTTCTTGATCCATCGCTCCAATATTTTCGAGATGGCCTGCCCATTGTTAAAATTTCTCATGTCGACATCTTCCAACTTAGCCGTACCAGACAGAACAATACAAAATTGGTACCATTTTTCTTTAACAGCGCAATCCTTCCGAAGCGCGTCGGCAACTTGAGTTAACGGAAATTTGGACATTACACGAGGAGATGATCAAGTAGTAGCTGGGGTGGAATTGGGGACAATATTATTCTTCAACAGCCAGATTGTAACCTACTCAGTTAGCACACAGATTGGGCATTTCTCGCAACTAAGGAAACGATGGAAGAACCTAAAATACCATGTTGACAAATAAAGAGCAATGACTTTTATTTTACTTTTATTTACTTTTATTTTTGGATCAGGCTATGTAAATAAGTTTGTACAGTAGATATATATTTCTATTTTATCCGTTATGTATGTATGTTGGTTATGAATCGTTTGCCTTAGTTTACTCTTATTGACGGACCTACATACAATAAATATATGTATTGACTTATCTTTCTCATTCAGAAAATTGGTAACATAAAATTCAATCGAATCTACAAATATGTTTTTTGAGCTAATAAAAACTTGATAACCCAATTGTATTGTATTGTATTTTCACACCGATTAACCTGACAAATCATTTATTTGACGGCGATACCATGTCCTGGTTTACATCAATGTAAACAGTAAATGCAATCAGCCCGATGGGCTCCTTATATATTTATGTGGTATACAGTTACCTGTTTAGTAGCAGGATGGATTTAATCGAGCAAGTTTCAAAGTATGGAATGAAAATATGGCAAATCAATCAATACTTATTCAAAAATTTGCAACACATTCTGTTTACAAAACTGGAAAAATTCTGGGGCAAGGATCTTTTTCTGTGGTTGATAAACGTAAGTACGTAAATTTTTAGAAAGTTATATCACATCAAAAATAATATTTTATTTGATTATTTTAATTAGGAATTTTGGGGGGTAATTATGTCGCTATTAAAACAATAAGAAGGCAAAGCAATATACTTTGTCAAGTTAACGAAATTAATATTTTAAGTCGGCTTTGCCATGATAATGTTGTTAAAATGTTTGGTGTCCTTGATGATCCAGATCCAGGTAAAATAATTTTTAACAATTTAAATTTAAAATCTAATTACTTAGTATCTGTACTGATAAATGCAATATTGAAGATACCAAAATCGTACTGGAATATCTAGAATGCGGTTGCTTATTTGAATATGTGTTAAAGACAGAAATGACTGAGGTATGTATATGTACAGCGATATCTACTTAATTAAAGTGGATTGACTTATCAAATTAATTGATTCCAGTCGGATCAACTAATTATACTCAAAGGTATCTCCAAAGGTATGCAATATCTGCACGAGATGAATGTGATCCACAGGGACCTCGCATCCAGAAATATATTGTTGGGGTCGCAATTGACTGCAAAAATTTCAGATTTTGGGTTCAGCGTGCTTACAACTGTTGCCAATTTTTACGCATATTTCGAATATTCGGTGAGTGCCTGGAAGATAATTTTATACAAGCAGAATATCATTTAAACTGTTACACTGTGGGACGTTTAGAAAGAAGAACTTAATCGCATGCCATATCGCTATCTTCCTCCTGAGAGCGTTGCAGGGCTACTTGATACACCTGGGACAAAGTGCGTCTACTCTAAATCTGGAGATGTTTGGTCATATGCTGCAATAATTTATGAAATGATGGTGCCCGGGAAGGTTCCATTTCATGAATTTGGGACAAACAATGTGGTGGTATGAATAAAATTCTTGTTGGAACACCTCAGATATTTGTAGCTAATGGAGAGGAGAATCTGCTTTCTGGACAATCGAGCTTAGATTCAGGGTCTCCTAAACACAGTGGTTTATGCATTTCCTGAAAAAAACATCGATTAAACATACGATTTTTAAACGCCGTCAAAGCATACTCCATTTTTTGATCAAGTTCTGATCCAAAAAACACTGAGGTAATGATGTTTTATTTTGACAGGAAATTGTACGACGAATTTGCAAAGGATTCTATCCAATGTGTTGCCCTACCAAATCAAATAGCTTTATGAGTAATTTATCACAAGCAATATTTAAATGTCCGCGAGATCAACGACCGACTTTCGAAGAGATTCTAAAGACCATTGAGAATCGTCTGGAATGTTTATCCGTCAATGATTTCGCAATTTCACATCAGCCAATCTCCCAAGCACAAAAAACCGAAGATGGAACCAACATGACCAACGTTGCTTTAGGGAGTGTGGACAGCGGGATTGGTAGCACATCATTTAGCATGGATAGTACTTGTGGTATTGATGTTATTACTAATTTGCTTTTTAACAAGATTATTAAACTCATCTTGCTATCTATAGATAACGACGAATTGGACCAATTAAAGAACTGTTCCGATATTAAAGCTGCAGTTGTGCTTCAAAATGTCACAACCGTTTTGCCCGACATGGATTTTGCAGAGGGAATTTTTAAAAAGTTTGGAAGACCGAACCTTAAAATTAATGCGATTAAAAGACTAAGCTCTAAATCACTCGCGATCGTGGTTAAGAGCAGATCCAGTAATACAACAATGAATCCTGAAATGATTAAGGCCTTGTCCTCCATGGTGAATGACATTAAAGCATGCTCCTCTGTGTACAGTAGTTCAATAAAGGTAGATTTATATAATCGTGAGGAATTTAACCTTGACGAAACTGGTTGATGGTTTATGTCGGTGCTAAGCTTAGAAACTACGCTTGGTTAATTTCTAAAAGGTTATTTTTAACAAGTATATAATTACAGTGTGTGACACTATTGACTCACTTAAAAAACGCCAGCGTGATGTTTTTGTTCCCGCATGTTATATTTCTTTATCCAAATCTTTTTTTCCAACTGGGGAATAATAATTTTCCGTCAAGAACAGAAATTCACATTTAAATACAAACATTACAAGGAGGCAGATAAATTGCTCGAAAATTGCAAGTTTCCGTAAACACCATGAGATGTTTGAAGGACCGACATTTTGTGACTGGCAAAAGCGTCCTTGCAGAACCACAGTGCTTTAACCTACCACTAAGAATATAAAGAAAAACAAGGAACATGACTAACCCAGATACGTAGGAGTATGTAGTTTCAAAACGTACACTACATACTTCTCAATCCGTTTATGGATAAGTTAAATTAAAATAAATTGCATTACAATACTAATATGAATTACATTTACATTACAATTAATTTCAATTAAATTTCAATTATGCACAAAGATTTGCGGTTAACAATAAGAATATTGAATAACCGTCCTGTTACTTATGTATGTACATATTTCCGTCTGCAAGAATTTGTCGTAGATTAGCAACTAACAGTAATGCAGTTACAAATTTATATGATGCTAAAAATTTTCACAAAACCAGGACAGGGTGTTTTTACAAGTAACAAATTTTATTATATATTGTATTAAATTTTTAATCCGATTTTAATAATTTTTTTTCTTATTTTTAGCTTACACACCAAAAATTTACTTGGATTCCACAATTTCTCCAATAATTTCAATAGCTTCAATTTTAGTTAGTGCCCCCTACATAAAATAAATAGCACATTCTTATCTTTTCTATCGAGAAATATCTACATGCAAAACATACCACTGGCAAATCCACAGCAGCCCGGGCCGGGTAGTTTTCCGCGAAGACTAAAATAAAATAAATCCTATTTGCACAAATTTACGAAGCTTACCTTACAAGTAAGACAAGTTTAGTAATTGCAAGTCTAATATTTTACTTGCAAAATTTCATAAGGTAAATACGTAAATCAGTGACGTCTTGTTGTTTTGAAAAAATTGACGGTTTGTATGACACAATCATATTTATTTAAAATCACATAGTCAAAGGTTTTATGAGCTTTTATCAAATTTGGAAAAATAGAAACAAATAAGTAAATACAATTTCAAATTTATTTTACCAGATTACAATTTTACGTAAGAATGTTGAATAAAAATGTGCATCACTGTTAGGATGGTCACCTGCTTGCATTTGTTTTTAGGTGGGCGATTCAATAGTGGACGGCCCCATTATTCAGCTGAATAGGTGTTGCACCTTAATGGTGCAAGCACAAGCCTCGAGTGAAATGCAGATTAATTTGATAAGATTATAGGCTTATTAAAATGCTTAAATACGCTTCCTCGAATATCATTCATAAATTTCGTGCATATGAAAACGATATCAATTATTATTAAGTGAGAATGCCTCTGAGTGATAATAACCTAACTCACACAATTTTTAGAAGACTTATCTGAAAATTATAAATATTAGCCAGATAACAGCAGCAAGTTTGCAATTTGTAGCAAACAAAAGTTCAACATGACATGGGGTGTTCGATGATCGATGAAATTACCACGGAATCCGATTTTTAGATCAGAAATTGCTATAAGCTTTTTCAACTTGGCGCGACTTGCCACACCAGTTGTTGCGGCATCACTATGTTTTCGCATATCTCGAACAAACTTGCCCGATGAGACGTTCACTTTTCCGGAAACGGTGGAGATGAAGCCGTAGATCGGGATAGAATTAAGATAACCAACGGGTAACAAAAGGAGTCCTGGATTGGTTAGAAAGTCTCTCCAGAGTCGAATAAAGATCACTGTGCAGCAAGTACACACCAAGGTCAAGGTGGTCAACACAACGGGTAGAAAGAATGTTCGAAAAATGCCGTTAAACTGGATTTCTAGCAGGCAGGTTTTGTCTATTTATTTTGTCTTTGGAATATTTTCTGATGAATTGTTTAGAATATGAATTATATAACAAATCTGCGGCCATTTTAAAATTACTATCAACGGATTTCCGTTCAGTTTGCTTGTTGTGCACAATCATAATATGAAATGAAATATTTGTTAATATTTGGAAATATTCAGAGGGCGACGATGCTGATGATATTGGACCTTTATTATGTAGGTGGAATTTATTTAATTATTTTAATCGCACATCCAAGACTCACCTGTGATATCCTTTTTTAAGGTTTAGTTTATTGTACATAACCTTCAGCATATCAGAATTCCACTTAACCGAATGGACGAAGAATATTAGGTCTAGAATTATTATATTTGAATACTTACAAGTATTTTTGTACAATACATGACTTTGTAATGTATTCTGTACCTTGTTCTACGACTACTTGGACCGCCTACCGTTTGGATTACCATTTCAATGCATTTTAAACGACACGATTATGTTGCGCTAATAATTATATAATGATTAATACTACGAACTTCAAGCTAAGATTTATCTGTAAATTATCTATAAGTTAATTATTTTATCTATATCTGCTTTGTCAAATTTTTATTCGAGTTATGTCTGCAGGTGTCTAGAGCTGAAAATCAGTACATGTGCTGACGCTCGTCCGACACCTTTAATAAAAACCTATCAATCAATCAATCAATCAATCAATCAATCAATACAAGTAAGTACATACATAATTTATTAAATATACAAATCTAGTTTTATTACGTATTAGTGGGTCACATATTATCGTGGTAATTCTAAAAAGACTGAAATACAAGTGATCATCACTTACTAGGGGTACTAGGCATCTGTTACCTGGACCTAGCTATGCCACTATATACATTGGATGCATTTTTTAATAGTAGTCAGGCAATGTAACAAAATTTACGTGTAAAAATGACATTTGGTCACTCTATGACGATTTTTGTGACGAGCGCAAGGCATCATTTTGCTGCCTGTGGGGGTTGTGGGAGTCGAGCTGGCTCACCCCACTCAACGTAAAGACGCGTCCCACACCACTCCTCTTGCTTCATATTGTTTTTTTCTCACTTTCACTTTCACAATTTTTTTTGCTTTTGATTGTATTAAACTTTATATTGTGACCTCAGTGCTAATGACAGAGACATGATAATGTAAATAATACATATGTATGCATGTGGAGGAAAAATTCATTGACACACATACAAATTTAGAAAAGAAGCTCTTCACATAATTTTCGTTTTTTTTGTAAATCCGAATTTCTAAAATAAATATATAAATATATATGTTCTGCATTTTCACGTAAGGTTGAGCCTTGGCAGAAATTGAGATTTTCATACGTTCCGTCTAAACTTCGTAGGTCAGTTAAAATATACCCAAAAAATTTTATCTCGATCATTTGGCGTGAAAGCTCGCCATATATTTTATTGAGTAAAATTAATTTTAAAATCTTTCACGACAAATTAGTTTGATTATTGATCTGAATAATAATTCAATTGAATATTCTGCATCCGATAGTTGCAAAAATTACTAAAATTCATTTTATTTAACAAAATGTTTAGATATTTTGGATATCTTTCACGCCAAATAGTCGAGATTATATTTTTTGTGTGCATTAATTTAACTGACAGAACAGAAGGTGTTCGCGAGATATTCATATGAGGCAGGGTGAGAATGATTTTGAGCAGGAGTCACAAATATGTAAACAGTCCTGTCGCCATCCTCATTATCCAATTTGTAATGTCTCCCCACAAGTTCTTTTTCTCCCCAAAACCTGTTGTCCTTCAAAATGTGACCTGTAATTATTTGTGTGTGTGCCTGTTTGTGATTGGTGCTCTGTGTCTTGGAGGTCGCCCTTCTGGTCCACCTCACCTAAATTATTGTGTAAAACTTGAACCATTCTCATTTCTGTGTGCGAGGAGGAACATTAGGCCCAGTCACTTCTAAATTGAGAATCACAATTTGTAATAATATTGATACCTGTGACACAATTAAAAACTCTAAATTGTAAAATTACTCCTCGTATTTGCCTTATCGTCGCACACATTATTACGCCGCCACACCCACCACCACCGTCGCCACATTGCACACTACATAATAATAATAAGTCCTCTCTCTCATTGTCGCCAAGTCATAACATCACACATTCTCACGAACATAAATGGTCTCGCCCTGAGTGTATAGTATTTCAAGAACAGAAGGAAAGTGGCGTATGTAGTTTCATGAAAATTTCAATTTCTGCCAAGGCTTAACTGTACATGGAAGAACAGTATATGTTCATCTTCATACGTAACAATTTAATATAAATTTGATAAATAATATTATATGTACTTATGCATATAAAGCGAAATTGTTTGAAGGGGTTTTTCCTAAATTTGTATTTGTGTTTTAATCAGTTTTTTATTCCAGATGCATATGTACATATGTATTTACATAATCATGTCTGTTATCAGAACTGTGGTCGCAATATAAAATTTTGCACAAAAGTGAAAAATATTGAAGTGACAGTGAAAAACAAAGTAATATATGTAAAGCGAGAGGAGTGGTGGAGACGCGTTGTTACGTTGAGTGGTGTGAGCGTTCTCCACTCCCACAACCCCTCACAGGTAGCAAAATAGCAGCCTTGCGCTCGTCACAAAAATCGTCATAGAGTGACCAAATGTCATTTTTAAACGTAAATTTTGTTACATTGCCTGACTACTATTACAAAATGCATCTAATGTATATGGTGGCATAGCTAGGTCCAGGTAACAGATGCCTAGTACCCCTAGTTAGTGATGGTTAATTCAAAAGAATCCTACATATGTAAGCCGGCTTCATTTATAAGTTTTCTTTAAATTATTCATCGACTTGACGTTGTTTTTTTAACTTAAGCGTTGCCTGTACATATTTTGTTAGAATTAGTACGACGATATTTACATGTTATCATACATATTCAATCCTACTACGTATATATGAACGAGTAGGTACAAGTATGCATCATAGTGCTTCACATCCAGGCATATTTATGTCTTTTATACTTGTATCATTCCAGTTTATTGTAGAGCACACTTGATAATAAATGTTATACGCCAAACGGCACATTATTTTTTATTAAAGACCATAGAAAATGAGACTAATGAAATTCCGCAGAGTATTAAGCAATTGGAGCATTGCCGAACTTTATGGTACACATCGATAGATAATGGCATTGCGAGTAATCTCATTTCTAAATAGGATGGAATTTTCACGCCCCAGAAACACGTGCTCATTTGACTAAATTGGAAGCGGCAAGATGATGAATTTGAATCTATCCTATTTATATCTTAGATTATCAATAGTACATATTTAGGGTCCTATGGGGTAAATGAGAGGAAATTTATAGAATTTTTCTATCTTATGTGTATAATTGCCTAGCCACAAAGGTTGGAAAATTCATTTACCCCAGACGACCTTAGATAAGTTAGATAGGTAAGTATACATATATGTATGTATATACTTATAAATACCTATGCATGACGCGCATTTATTTCGTTTATTATGTAATTATACCAGATTACAGTCACGGATTTACTATTTTTTGCTGGTTGAATTCAAGATTAATTATCCAAGTATTGCGACTTACCGACAATTTATGTACATATTGACACAAATATTGCATTCATGTCACAACTCAAGTGTGCCTCGGTTAAGGTTGGATTATCTGATTAGTGCGAACTACTTATGGGCGGCTGACACAAATAAATCAATTATCTAAGTGAATAAAAGGCAGCCTATTTAAGCCATTTATTACGTCATACTTAGTTAGTCGTATAATATTCTTGTGCCCGTTAACATATTCTCAATTTTCTCCTGCATCTGCATAACAATTGTGTGGATTCACGCAATGCCTGCTAAATCAGTAAGCTAATTGTATAATTAGTTCAAATTTTTATAAAAAAAGTTGATCCATTAATTTCAGGTCGTAGTATTTTTCCTTGCCGTGGTTATCCTTCTTGTCCAGGACGGCATTGCACAAACCAAACCTATGACTTATGATTGCAAAAAGAATGGGTTTTTCGCAATAGATACACAGACAAAGAAAGATAATTTTTGCCCCTGGATAGCTGAATTTTGTTCGGCCGGATTTGTCGCAAAACCTGTCAACTGTCCTGTTGGCAATTCCATCTGCGACTTTGTCCGCTGTACGTTCATCCCACAGTATGGGGTTTTCTCGACCGTATTTTACAAATGTGCTGAAGAAGTGCTACCAACGGATGACTTGTACCAGTTTGATGAAGTCAAACAAGCATGCTTTATGGTTTGTGATGAGTATTTATTTACTCATTCTTAATACTTGATACGGTTGATTAACAATTTGTGAATTATGTTTCCTAATATAGCTGCCAGCAGCTGGATAAGTTTCTGGGATACAGCGTGGCTGAGACGATTTAATGGCTTCCGATACTTCGTCATTGTAACTTAATCAGATATTGCAAAAACAAACTAGGCAAAATTTGAAAGTGTCTTTCTTTTAATTATTTTTTAACTTATTAAGTCCTAAGAGATTCGCAGCTGACATTTACATACGAACTTTACTTACATAGTAAGATCCCCACTCGTAAGTTGATGATAAGTACATACACACCTTCTTACTAATTAGTCCACGACCTGGGAAATATTTCAAGCTCAACGACACTAGTGATTCAATCAGGTGTGAGACCACCAATCTGATAAATATTATTCCTGAAACCGTCGCAGAATGAATTATGAAAATATTTCATACTTTTCTCTCTTTCTCTTATTCTTACAAATTTCCTTGTTATTTCTTGCTGAAGCTACGGCCCATCAAAATGTGGGTGGAAGTGGGAAAGTTTTATCAGAATCGTCCAGCAGGAACCCGAAACGTAAGACTTTCAAACAAATATTTGTACAGCACCGTTCTGGAAAAGTCTTAGTAAAATATAACACTTACATACTAGAATATTTATGTAGGTATACTGAATCACTAATTTTTTATATTTATCTCATTTTCACTTTTAGGCATGTACTGGCCATTTGTGAGTTATATCGTATCTGCCGGACCATGCGGGGATGGAGATGGGATTTGTTTACCAGGGTATGTAAAAACACACTTGACTAATTAACTTATTAATTTATCTCTAACTTTAAAACGTACTTCTCTCAGTGGAAAATGTAAAGTCCAGGGTGGCCGTAAGATCGGTGAATGTGGGTCAGGATTAGGAGATTGTTGTAGATGTAAGTTCTGCTATTATTAAACAAAAATATATATCTTTTTACAATTATAAAATCTTTTTCCTCATATTTAGTTTCTATGTCCTGTGACGAAACCACGAGCCGGAGAGAGATTAATGAGATCACGTCCACAATCTCGTCTCCCTCACCAATCACGGCAGATTGCCAATTCATTGTGAAAAGGGTACATGTTTATCCTTCAACTATTAGAAATACTTATTACTTAAATTTTAAGAGGCATAGTTAACAGTTTTTTTTAAACAAAAACCATAATGTTCCCAGAAACCGAAGTACTGTCAGATTAGGCTGGACTTTACAGAGTACATATCTAGTTCTGCAAATTTGGATGGTGTTTGTGACGTGGACAGCTTCACGGTCAAGGGAAGTTCCACAGTTTCTGGGGAGTTCACGACATGTGGTACTTTGACAGGGCAGCATAGTAGGTTTTATGATTTATAAAATTTTTTTTATTACAAAACCTTTTCTTTTTGATGATATTTGTATTCATTATGGCCACACGTTTTTTGTTTCTATGTTTAAGTGTACCTTGAATTTGGAGATTCCGACTCAATCCAAATAATTCCATCCTTCTCGTCCGGCGGAAATAATGCAAAGTACAGAATTTTGGTTACCCAAATAGCCTGCAAGTCGCCACAAAGAGGTAGAATACTTTCATGATTTATTGCCAGTTACTAATAAATACAACAGTTATTTGATATATGCAGTAACCCAATATATTGAACTATTTGTGCAGTTCCTTCGTATTGTCTCCAAAACTATCCCAGTGGTCGCGGTGTCGTCAAAAGCTTCGACTTCCCAAAGCAGCAGCAAAACAATCAACGATACACCGTTTGTGTGGCGGGTGTCACGTCGGATGCAATTATGGTAATTAATAGAGAGCAATTATCGATTGCTGAAGCCTTGTATGTAACATGGTGTAAAGTGGCATGCCAAAATTTTCTGGAAACATTTCTTATAGCTATTTTATCTTAAACAACTATTCTATTTAGTGGAATCTCTGCTCCGCCGCGGACGCTGGGACAGGAATCACACCATTTTTTATTTCCGGTCCAGCTCCTGCAAATCAGGATCATATCTGCCATAACACGCGAGACTGGGTCCAACCGAACGGGAGGAATCAGATATGTCTGGCCGAAAGTATTCCACGAGATGGGCTCGTTAGTATGTTCCAGATAGATATATCGAGTCATATTTTTTTTAACTGGTAACAAGCGATTATGACTCGGATACTATATACGTATGACGCTACCGCATGGTAATAAATCTGTTACTGGCTTAGAGAAAATTCTGACCTTACAAGAAAACATGGCAATAAATTACTCTACTTCGGTAACAGATTTATTATCATGTGTATCTATGTACTATATTATCACAGACAGGTAATCGGTTGTCACCAGATTATTTTCAGTGTATAAATAGCATCGCTAATAATAATTTCAGCCGCTATGAAGCCATTCACACTCAACGTCAACTTCAATGACCACGAGGTTGAGCCACTCCCATGCCCCCTGCTCTGGCAAGGGATCACTGATCCTGACCAATGCACTTTGGAAGCAGTGCAATTAGCCAATCCCAACAATGCCTGTGCAAGAACGCGACTTCAATCCTGCACCTGGATTATGGCAGCGTTACGATGTATTTGCAACCCGATTGAGTCGGACAATGAGAACGGGTTGAGTAATACGGGATTTTGCTTATCGTATGGACCAAAGAGTGCGGTGGGATAAGTCCAGTTCACGTATTACGCTCTGGTTCAATTCGTACAACTTATGAATAACTTATCCTTAGATTATGTTGCTACCAATTTATCTTTATTGCATATAGGATTTGTATTGTTTTTGCCATTTTCCAGCTAGTGATAAGTATATGTACGTATGTTAGTTTTATGACTGTACTTAAGAGAAATACATTTCTGTGTAGATACTAAAAACAGTAATATTGTTGACATGTGTACGTATCTCTAGTCCAGGAACAATCATGAAGTCAAAGTTCGTATGTAAATGTCAGCTGCGAATCTCTTAGGACTTAATAAGTTAAAAAATAATTAAAAGAAAGACACTTTCAAATTTTGCCTAGTTTGTTTTTGCAATATCTGATTAAGTTACAATGACGAAGTATCGGAAGCCATTAAATCGTCTCAGCCACGCTGTATCCCAGAAACTTATCCAGCTGCTGGCAGCTATATTAGGAAACATAATTCACAAATTGTTAATCAACCGTATCAAGTATTAAGAATGAGTAAATAAATACTCATCACAAACCATAAAGCATGCTTGTTTGACTTCATCAAACTGGTACAAGTCATCCGTTGGTAGCACTTCTTCAGCACATTTGTAAAATACGGTCGAGAAAACCCCATACTGTGGGATGAACGTACAGCGGACAAAGTCGCAGATGGAATTGCCAACAGGACAGTTGACAGGTTTTGCGACAAATCCGGCCGAACAAAATTCAGCTATCCAGGGGCAAAAATTATCTTTCTTTGTCTGTGTATCTATTGCGAAAAACCCATTCTTTTTGCAATCATAAGTCATAGGTTTGGTTTGTGCAATGCCGTCCTGGACAAGAAGGATAACCACGGCAAGGAAAAATACTACGACCTGAAATTAATGGATCAACTTTTTTTATAAAAATTTGAACTAATTATACAATTAGCTTACTGATTTAGCAGGCATTGCGTGAATCCACACAATTGTTATGCAGATGCAGGAGAAAATTGAGAATATGTTAACGGGCACAAGAATATTATACGACTAACTAAGTATGACGTAATAAATGGCTTAAATAGGCTGCCTTTTATTCACTTAGATAATTGATTTATTTGTGTCAGCCGCCCATAAGTAGTTCGCACTAATCAGATAATCCAACCTTAACCGAGGCACACTTGAGTTGTGACATGAATGCAATATTTGTGTCAATATGTACATAAATTGTCGGTAAGTCGCAATACTTGGATAATTAATCTTGAATTCAACCAGCAAAAAATAGTAAATCCGTGACTGTAATCTGGTATAATTACATAATAAACGAAATAAATGCGCGTCATGCATAGGTATTTATAAGTATATACATACATATATGTATACTTACCTATCTAACTTATCTAAGGTCGTCTGGGGTAAATGAATTTTCCAACCTTTGTGGCTAGGCAATTATACACATAAGATAGAAAAATTCTATAAATTTCCTCTCATTTACCCCATAGGACCCTAAATATGTACTATTGATAATCTAAGATATAAATAGGATAGATTCAAATTCATCATCTTGCCGCTTCCAATTTAGTCAAATGAGCACGTGTTTCTGGGGCGTGAAAATTCCATCCTATTTAGAAATGAGATTACTCGCAATGCCATTATCTATCGATGTGTACCATAAAGTTCGGCAATGCTCCAATTGCTTAATACTCTGCGGAATTTCATTAGTCTCATTTTCTATGGTCTTTAATAAAAAATAATGTGCCGTTTGGCGTATAACATTTATTATCAAGTGTGCTCTACAATAAACTGGAATGATACAAGTATAAAAGACATAAATATGCCTGGATGTGAAGCACTATGATGCATACTTGTACCTACTCGTTCATATATACGTAGTAGGATTGAATATGTATGATAACATGTAAATATCGTCGTACTAATTCTAACAAAATATGTACAGGCAACGCTTAAGTTAAAAAAACAACGTCAAGTCGATGAATAATTTAAAGAAAACTTATAAATGAAGCCGGCTTACATATGTAGGATTCTTTTGAATTAACCATCACTAACTAGGGGTACTAGGCATCTGTTACCTGGACCTAGCTATGCCACCATATACATTAGATGCATTTTGTAATAGTAGTCAGGCAATGTAACAAAATTTACGTTTAAAAATGACATTTGGTCACTCTATGACGATTTTTGTGACGAGCGCAAGGCTGCTATTTTGCTACCTGTGAGGGGTTGTGGGAGTGGAGAACGCTCACACCACTCAACGTAACAACGCGTCTCCACCACTCCTCTCGCTTTACATATATTACTTTGTTTTTCACTGTCACTTCAATATTTTTCACTTTTGTGCAAAATTTTATATTGCGACCACAGTTCTGATAACAGACATGATTATGTAAATACATATGTACATATGCATCTGGAATAAAAAACTGATTAAAACACAAATACAAATTAGGAAAAACCCCTTCAAACAATTTCGCTTTATATGCATAAGTACATATAATATTATTTATCAAATTTATATTAAATTGTTACGTATGAAGATGAACATATACTGTTCTTCCATGTACAGTTAAGCCTTGGCAGAAATTGAAATTTTCATGAAACTACATACGCCACTTTCCTTCTGTTCTTGAAATACTATACACTCAGGGCGAGACCATTTATGTTCGTGAGAATGTGTGATGTTATGACTTGGCGACAATGAGAGAGAGGACTTATTATTATTATGTAGTGTGCAATGTGGCGACGGTGGTGGTGGGTGTGGCGGCGTAATAATGTGTGCGACGATAAGGCAAATACGAGGAGTAATTTTACAATTTAGAGTTTTTAATTGTGTCACAGGTATCAATATTATTACAAATTGTGATTCTCAATTTAGAAGTGACTGGGCCTAATGTTCCTCCTCGCACACAGAAATGAGAATGGTTCAAGTTTTACACAATAATTTAGGTGAGGTGGACCAGAAGGGCGACCTCCAAGACACAGAGCACCAATCACAAACAGGCACACACACAAATAATTACAGGTCACATTTTGAAGGACAACAGGTTTTGGGGAGAAAAAGAACTTGTGGGGAGACATTACAAATTGGATAATGAGGATGGCGACAGGACTGTTTACATATTTGTGACTCCTGCTCAAAATCATTCTCACCCTGCCTCATATGAATATCTCGCGAACACCTTCTGTTCTGTCAGTTAAATTAATGCACACAAAAAATATAATCTCGACTATTTGGCGTGAAAGATATCCAAAATATCTAAACATTTTGTTAAATAAAATGAATTTTAGTAATTTTTGCAACTATCGGATGCAGAATATTCAATTGAATTATTATTCAGATCAATAATCAAACTAATTTGTCGTGAAAGATTTTAAAATTAATTTTACTCAATAAAATATATGGCGAGCTTTCACGCCAAATGATCGAGATAAAATTTTTGGGTATATTTTAACTGACCTACGAAGTTTAGACGGAACGTATGAAAATCTCAATTTCTGCCAAGGCTCAACCTTACGTGAAAATGCAGAACATATATATTTATATATTTATTTTAGAAATTCGGATTTACAAAAAAAACGAAAATTATGTGAAGAGCTTCTTTTCTAAATTTGTATGTGTGTCAATGAATTTTTCCTCCACATGCATACATATGTATTATTTACATTATCATGTCTCTGTCATTAGCACTGAGGTCACAATATAAAGTTTAATACAATCAAAAGCAAAAAAAATTGTGAAAGTGAAAGTGAGAAAAAAACAATATGAAGCAAGAGGAGTGGTGTGGACGCGTCTTTACGTTGAGTGGGGTGAGCCAGCTCGACTCCCACAACCCCCACAGGCAGCAAAATGATGCCTTGCGCTCGTCACAAAAATCGTCATAGAGTGACCAAATGTCATTTTTACACGTAAATTTTGTTACATTGCCTGACTACTATTAAAAAATGCATCCAATGTATATAGTGGCATAGCTAGGTCCAGGTAACAGATGCCTAGTACCCCTAGTAAGTGATGATCACTTGTATTTCAGTCTTTTAGAATTACCACGATAATATGTGACCCACTAATACGTAATAAAACTAGATTTGTATATTTAATAAATTATGTATGTACTTACTTGTATTGATTGATTGATTGATTGATTGATTGATTGATAGGTTTTTATTAAAGGTGTCGGACGAGCGTCAGCACATGTACTGATTTTCAGCTCTAGACACCTGCAGACATAACTCGAATAAAAATTTGACAAAGCAGATATAGATAAAATAATTAACTTATAGATAATTTACAGATAAATCTTAGCTTGAAGTTCGTAGTATTAATCATTATATAATTATTAGCGCAACATAATCGTGTCGTTAAAATGCATTGAAATGGTAATCCAAACGGTAGGCGGTCCAAGTAGTCGTAGAACAAGTACAGAATACATTACAAAGTCATGTATTGTACAAAAATACTTGTAAGTATTCAAATATAATAATTCTAGACCTAATATTCTTCGTCCATTCGGTTAAGTGGAATTCTGATATGCTGAAGGTTATGTACAATAAACTAAACCTTAAAAAAGGATATCACAGGTGAGTCTTGGATGTGCGATTAAAATAATTAAATAAATTCCACCTACATAATAAAGGTCCAATATCATCAGCATCGTCGCCCTCTGAATATTTCCAAATATTAACAAATATTTCATTTCATATTATGATTGTGCACAACAAGCAAACTGAACGGAAATCCGTTGATAGTAATTTTAAAATGGCCGCAGATTTGTTATATAATTCATATTCTAAACAATTCATCAGAAAATATTCCAAAGACAAAATAAATAGACAAAACCTGCCTGCTAGAAATCCAGTTTAACGGCATTTTTCGAACATTCTTTCTACCCGTTGTGTTGACCACCTTGACCTTGGTGTGTACTTGCTGCACAGTGATCTTTATTCGACTCTGGAGAGACTTTCTAACCAATCCAGGACTCCTTTTGTTACCCGTTGGTTATCTTAATTCTATCCCGATCTACGCTTCATCTCCACCGTTTCCGGAAAAGTGAACGTCTCATCGGGCAAGTTTGTTCGAGATATGCGAAAACATAGTGATGCCGCAACAACTGGTGTGGCAAGTCGCGCCAAGTTGAAAAAGCTTATAGCAATTTCTGATCTAAAAATCGGATTCCGTGGTAATTTCATCGATCATCGAACACCCCATGTCATGTTGAACTTTTGTTTGCTACAAATTGCAAACTTGCTGCTGTTATCTGGCTAATATTTATAATTTTCAGATAAGTCTTCTAAAAATTGTGTGAGTTAGGTTATTATCACTCAGAGGCATTCTCACTTAATAATAATTGATATCGTTTTCATATGCACGAAATTTATGAATGATATTCGAGGAAGCGTATTTAAGCATTTTAATAAGCCTATAATCTTATCAAATTAATCTGCATTTCACTCGAGGCTTGTGCTTGCACCATTAAGGTGCAACACCTATTCAGCTGAATAATGGGGCCGTCCACTATTGAATCGCCCACCTAAAAACAAATGCAAGCAGGTGACCATCCTAACAGTGATGCACATTTTTATTCAACATTCTTACGTAAAATTGTAATCTGGTAAAATAAATTTGAAATTGTATTTACTTATTTGTTTCTATTTTTCCAAATTTGATAAAAGCTCATAAAACCTTTGACTATGTGATTTTAAATAAATATGATTGTGTCATACAAACCGTCAATTTTTTCAAAACAACAAGACGTCACTGATTTACGTATTTACCTTATGAAATTTTGCAAGTAAAATATTAGACTTGCAATTACTAAACTTGTCTTACTTGTAAGGTAAGCTTCGTAAATTTGGCAAATAGGATTTATTTTATTTTAGTCTTCGCGGAAAACTACCCGCCCGGGCTGCTGTGGATTTGCCAGTGGTATGTTTTGCATGTAGATATTTCTCGATAGAAAAGATAAGAATGTGCTATTTATTTTATGTAGGGGGCACTAACTAAAATTGAAGCTATTGAAATTATTGGAGAAATTGTGGAATCCAAGTAAATTTTTGGTGTGTAAGCTAAAAATAAGAAAAAAAATTATTAAAATCGGATTAAAAATTTAATACAATATATAATAAATTTGTTACTTGTAAAAACACCCTGTCCTGGTTTTGTGAAAATTTTTAGCATCATATAAATTTGTAACTGCATTACTGTTAGTTGCTAATCTACGACAAATTCTTGCAGACGGAAATATGTACATACATAAGTAACAGGACGGTTATTCAATTATTCTTATTGTTAACCGCAAATCTTTGTGCATAATTGAAATTTAATTGAAATTAATTGTAATGTAAATGTAATTCATATTAGTATTGTAATGCAATTTATTTTAATTTAACTTATCCATAAACGGATTGAGAAGTATGTAGTGTACGTTTTGAAACTACATACTCCTACGTATCTGGTTAGTCATGTTCCTTGTTTTTCTTTATATTCTTAGTGGTAGGTTAAAGCACTGTTGGTTCTGCAAGGACGCTTTTGCCAGTCACAAAATGTCGGTCCTTCAAACATCTCATGGTGTTTACGGAAACTTGCAATTTTCGAGCAATTTATCTGCCTCCTTGTAATGTTTGTATTTAAATGTGAATTTCTGTTCTTGACGGAAAATTATTATTCCCCAGTTGGAAAAAAAGATTTGGATAAAGAAATATAACATGCGGAACAAAAACATCACGCTGGCGTTTTTTAAGTGAGTCAATAGTGTCACACACTGTAATTATATACTTGTTAAAAATAACCTTTTAGAAATTAACCAAGCGTAGTTTCTAAGCTTAGCACCGACATAAACCATCAACCAGTTTCGTCAAGGTTAAATTCCTCACGATTATATAAATCTACCTTTATTGAACTACTGTACACAGAGGAGCATGCTTTAATGTCATTCACCATGGAGGACAAGGCCTTAATCATTTCAGGATTCATTGTTGTATTACTGGATCTGCTCTTAACCACGGATCGGCGAGTGATTTAGAGCTTAGTCTTTTAATCGCATTAATTTTAAGGTTCGGTCTTCCCAAACTTTTTAAAAATTCCCTCTGCAAAATCCATGTCGGGCAAAACGGTTGTGACATTTTGAAGCACAACTGCAGCTTTAATATCGGACAGTTCTTTAATTGGTCCAATTCGCGTTATCTATAGATAGCAAGATGAGTTTAATAATCTTGTTAAAAAGCAAATTATAATAACATCAATACCACAAGTACTATCCATGCTAAATTGATGTGCTACCAATCCCGCTGTCCACACTCCCTAAAGCAACGTTGGTCATGTTGGTTCCATCTTCGGTTTTTTGTGCTTGGGAGATTGGCTGATGTGAAATTGCGAAATCATTGACGGATAAACATTCCAGACGATTCTCAATGGTCTTTAGAATCTCTTCGAAAGTCGGTCGTTGATCTCGCGGACATTTAAATATTGCTTGTGATAAATTACTCATAAAGCTATTTGATTTGGTAGGGCAACACATTGGATAGAATCCTTTGCAAATTCGTCGTACAATTTCCTGTCAAAATAAAACATCATTACCTCAGTGTTTTTTGGATCAGAACTTGATCAAAAAATGGAGTATGCTTTGACGGCGTTTAAAAATCGTATGTTTAATCGATGTTTTTTCAGGAAATGCATAAACCACTGTGTTTAGGAGACCCTGAATCTAAGCTCGATTGTCCAGAAAGCAGATTCTCCTCTCCATTAGCTACAAATATCTGAGGTGTTCCAACAAGAATTTATTCATACCACCACATTGTTTGTCCCAAATTCATGAAATGGAACCTTC